CAATTAGATCGGCTTTTTAAGTCTTCTTGCAAGTTTAGGTTTCCAAAACCCACACGTCAAACCTTCCTAGCCTTCCCTCTCTATAAATATGACAAAAATCGAGTTCTAGGGGCGATTTTCAGATGGAAGAAACAAAAGAGAAAACCCCCATTCAAATCCCCAACCATTTCTAACAAGAACATGAGAAAAATTCAAAATCTAGGGTTAGAACCTACCAAAATTGCCTCATTTCTCTGTGTATTCACGTTCTGACCTTAAAGAAGAGCAAAAACCACTCAAGTATACATTCTTTTGCATTAAGATTAATTTTTGTTGGTCTAAAACATAAAAAACGCCAATCTCAGGCTCTAGGATAGCTTCTATCAAGGCTAAATCGAAGAGGTAAGCCTCCTAACCCGTCTTGTTTGTCTTTTTTTAGTTAATTTTTGGTTACTTGGTTATTTTTATAACATATCTCGTTAGTTTAAGTTTGAGTTATTTGAGATTCTAAGCTTGTGGAAGCTTCTCTTTAAGTTTCTTGCAATTTTGGGGTTACAGAGATAGAGGTGAGGGTTTTAGGGAAATTTGTTCCTAATTCCTTGTAACATCCCCTCAAAACCAAGATTAAGAATTGCTAAAAGGGATTTTTCACAAGATATTAGAGTTACATCTTTTTTTTTTTAATTAAAGTTTGTGAAGTTGTAAGCATAAACAACTCCCATAGTGGGTTGTCATTTACAGCTTGGAGAAAGGGGTGCTAAACGCCTTCCCTCTCCCAATCCAAATGAATTTAGAATCTCTTGGTTGAGTGACTCATAGGTGGAGAAATGGAGTCACTATTTTTCAAAATAAAATCAATTTTCTAGAATTTATAGAGGACCCATTTCCTCTTAAATTAAATGGGTGGCAACTCTTTGTTGTGAGTCGGCCACGATCTTCCCAAAGCTCACAAAATGGGTGGTTGTCCTGTAGCTAGATCTATAAACATAGGAGAAACAGGAACCGAGGACTCCAGGTTAGTGCCAGTAGAAAAAGGAACTAAAAAAAGGGTAAATTACAGATAAGTACCTTGGACTTTCAATTGCAACACTTGAGTACCCTAAACTTTCAAAAATAGATATTAGGTCCATCCGTTACTATTCCATCAGTTAAACAATACATAATGCCAAAAATACCCTTCTCATATATTTCTGAGATCATTCTCAGGTAATCGAACGTCTCCCCATGATGATGTTCTCACATGGACAGTAAATTACATATTCAAATTTTCTTACGGTGGCATTCTCTGGTGATGATTTTACTTCGTATAATGATCTCCAAAATACACGAAAAGGTTATTTTTGACATTATGTAATGTTTAACTGACGGAATACTAACAGATAGACCCAAGTGTCTCTTTTTGAGAGTTCAAGGTACTCAAGTGTTGCAATTGAAAGTTAGGGTACCTATCTGTCACTACCCCCAAAGTACAGGGTATTATCTGTAATTTACTGTAAAAAAAGGGAGAAACAAAAGACAGGGGGTGGGGGGGAGTTAGAAGGGTTAGATCCTCCCTGCTTCACTCTTTCGCAAGCTTCCCTTGGATTAAGCCCTTCTTGGTTGCCTAAAAGGTTAGAAAGCACCTAGACTACATCCTATAATTGTCCCTCTTTTGCTGCCACACTTAGATCAGTGGTGAAATCTATGTTCCTCTACTATAACACCTACTCTTGGCTTTGGTTAAGAAGCAGCTCTTTGTCCCTCTTGGATTGAGAATTCACCACCTCACATTCCATGGTAGGATCTTCAACCCCAACACCCTTCAACTCCATAGTGTTGTTAGTCAAAACTTCTGCAAATAAAAATTCTGTTCCCAGACCCCCTCATCCTCCCATTTCTTACAAGCCTTTGTTGAATCAATGCTCCCTATGCTGCAGGGTTCATTAACTCCCTTTTCCTCTACAAAGTGAAAATCTTGTGAATCTTCCTACTCATCATCTTCCTCATCTTCATCAGTACTTCTACAATACATCGGGCTTGGCCTATCTAGGGTTGTAGAGTTCTCCGATTGCACCAGCCCCCAAACTAAGGAACATTTTTCACATTTCTCTAAAGGGGCAAAGCTCTCTTCGCCTAAGGTCAAGCCCGGTTCAAGAGATAATATCGTAGGGGCTTCTCCATCGAGCAAAGGGGGCAATGATAGACCCCTATTATCATCGTCTAAAGCACTTAAGTAGGGCACATGATCTCTTATGTTGTTTTGTGCCTTTACAAGGCTTGGTTCTATTGAGTTAATCTGTCTCGGTTCATCTCCTAATATAAACGGATCAGAAAATTTGATAGTCTACAGGTAACTTCCTCCTCGATGTGACTATTAGCCTTCTTTAGCAAGAGGTTGTTTGTCTTCTCCACCCAATAGAAAGGTGCCGTATGTTCTTCCTAGATCCATGTCATCACCTTCTTCCTCCGCTTCCTCTCAAAGTTCTGCCTCCATTGTCGAAAGGATCCAGACTTTGTATGCCACACCTTCTACTTGAACTTCCACCATTCGAGGAACATTCTCTGGTTTTACTCCCAAAGTTTGAGGGAAGCTGCTTGAGGGTTGCTAGTATTAAGATTAGGCTTGTAAACAGTATTCGAAAATCCGAATTTGAATCCAAGATTCGGCATAATCAAATCGGGTATTCAGTCGAATTTGAATATACTTTTTTTACCAATTAATTAATATATATATATATATATGTATATATATATACATATATATAATATATATAAACAATAATTTTTAAGTAATGAGGGCATATAGGTAAAATCGATTAAGAGAGGGTGCTCGACCTTCAACTGAGTCATTCTATTCGATTCACCCAGCCTCTCAGACCTCTCATCTTCCTCTCTGAAGTTTCCAAAACCCTAAGTTCCTAACCCTTCGTTGCCGCCAAACTCAAACAAACACCACCACTAATGCCAGTGATCAAAGCATCCAGCACCAGTCACCAACCACCGCAGCACCATTGTCGCACACTGGCACTGTTGTATCAGTCTCTCTCAATCAGTTGTCCACTAGTTCGTTAGCTCGCTAGTTCACCGCCGCCTAACTCAAGCAAAGCAACCACCACTCCATGACTCCAGCAATCCAAGCGTCTAGCACCAATCATCGGCCACCATCATCTCACACTCGCATCAGCAAACCTATTCCAGCATCAAGTCGTTTTTCAGATTGTAGATTTGGAGTTTTAATCTGAAGCTCTAGTCTCATGTTAGTCATAGCGGAGACTTGCGATCGAATCCCACCTACACCTGGGTTGGAGGGGTTATGGGTTGGGGGATGGGCTACCCCCCCCCCTCTCCATTGTGTAGCCCTTCAAAAGATATCAAAAAAAAATTCTAAAGCTCTGGTACAACAATAGGATTCTTCATTCTTTCCACTTCCCCTTTCTCAGGTAACCCGAAAACCTAATCCAACATTTATATGTTTGTCTTATTTTTTCTTCAAGTTAGAACGATCTCTTTCGAGGTTTTGTTTCATACGAAGCTTGAAAATTTTATCATGGAATTAGAATGTCAGGGTTATGCTACAGAGCAAATTAATGGTCAAATTTGAATCGAATCGAATCGAATCGAATATTCAACTTGTACTCGAATTCGAATTCGAACTTGAGTTTTAGATATCTGTCGAATATCGAATCGAATTCAAATATCACGATTCGTAATTGGTTTCAAATTCAAATCTAGCTCGATTCAAATTCAACCCGTTTAAAGGCCTAATTAAGATATTCAAGCTCCCCACCACATAATTGTGTGATTTTTTTGGAATGTCGAGTTCGCCTAGAGATGGAAAAGAAGTCCCACGATTTCACCCAAGGATTCTCCCCCAGAGCAATTGAGTTCAAGCTAGGGCTCCAACGCTAGACATTGATACAACCTTCTTTCATTTGAATCTACAAATGGAAGTCATTCAAAGGGAGCGGGAGCTCCAAGAATGCCTTGTGGTTTTGCAAGGACACGGCCAAAGTAATAAACCATCCTTTTGTTTCTTGTTTCCACTTCAAAATACTTTCCATAACTCTTTAGACTCCTCCACTCTTGTACTCTAAACAACTTGCAAGCCCCTACTACGAAACACTTGAACCATTATAGGTCTCCTTCCGCCAAAAAAAAATGTAGCTTCTCCCCTTCTCACAACTTCAATGCCTCTAACTTCTTTGTTCTTGTTTCTTCAGTGATGAAGTCCTTCACTTCTATCATCACTTGCTTTCTCCATCACCTAGCCTGCTCAAAAGTTCTTTCTCGTGCTTTCTCCATTGGAGGAGTCCTCTTGTTCTTAAACTTCAAAACTGCATGGCCAAACAATTGTATCCCAAAATCTAGGGCTCCATTTATCCTTCTCCGTGTGTTTTGAGAGACTTATCATTCAGGGTGACTCTCAAAATGAGATAAATTAGACTACATGAGCAAATACAAATGCCTAAAGGTCAACAAACACTCTAGTACTAGATCAAAGAAGCATCATCTATGGTTGTTATCCTATATTGAACCTCATTAAGATGAATTAAACCACCAATTTAGTGCCATTAAACTTTCCAAAAGGTGAGTGGTGTGGAGTTGTTTTCAGGCCCACCTTGCAAGGAAAGCTGTACTTCTAAGCCCATTTTCAAGGGCTTGAGCTTACCCTAGCTTCTTTCTGATATTCCTAAAGGGATTGTATCTACTCCCTTTTCTTCATTGATGCAATTGTTTTATTGTCACTGGAAAGAAAAAGAATAAGAACTTTTGGTTGCAATTATCCTGTTTTTTCTTTCTCAATTCATAAATAACTTTATACACATTTAGTAAACAATAAACATAACATGGATTAAGATTCCTATGGTGCTTGTTTCAGTTCAAATATGTTTAAAAGATATATTGAGGTGGTTAGTAAGGCAAATAACTTGGGATAAGTCACTATCAATAAGATTAGCACATCCCTACTAAAATGAAGTTCAGCTGGTTTGCACAAAGATAATGGGAACCATGCAAAAATCATTTAAGTGTATATTATTTACCAAAAGCGTAAATTTTCCCATGGAAGCTTCCCTTCATTTCCATAATAAAATGGCTCTCCAATTAACAGGTCAACCTATAGAGGAAGATGAAAATAATTTAGTTAATCAAATCAAATAATAAATGTTTCTTTTTGGTGAGTAAATAATATATGGTTGACCACAGAACAGTTGTGTGAGTCCTATTCTTCAAAAACAGTTATATGTGAGTTGAGGCTTAAACCAATGCACACTGGACTTGGATCAATGACAAATAGAAGATGGGTTTCATACATTTGTTGAAGGATATCTTGTTGCATGGCAAAGCCAAAAAAAAAAGTTGACACTTGTATAAAGCAAAATACAGAGCCTTGGCACTTGGAGCTTGTAAGTTGCTTCAAGTTGATGTTTATCAAACAATTTGGATGTCCTGTAGAAGGACCAATGAGCTTGTATATGATAACAAGGCCACCATTAGCACTACGCATGATCTCGTAATAGCATGATTAAACCAAACACATTGAAATTGATCAACATATTGTTTGTGAGAACTGAGAAGGCAGCTTCACGTTTAAGAGATCCATTTGCTATTTGTAAAGATTGATGATTAATTAGTTGATGTGTTGACAAAATCTATTGGCAAATCTTAGTTATTTGAAGCACATGACAAGCTGGACATGCAAGACATTTATGCTTCATCTTGAAAGGGAGTTCTGTCAAAGTGTTGTTATGTAAAATCTTACTTATCTTAAGTGAGGGTATACTTTTAACTATACCTTCTTTTTCTTATTAGTAATAAAGGTGTGAAGAAACAATTTGACCTCCATGCCATTAAACCAGATAGGCGGTTGGAAGACCAAGGATGGCATTGTATCATAAGCTTCAAGACAAGTTATGCCAATGGTTTGGTACAATATCCTCTGAACACACTTGGTGATATAAGAACCACCTTGTAGACGTTCTTGCAACCATGGAAAACTCATGAGAATTTAACATTGAGTAAGCTGCTCCCTATAGAAACCCTTTCCCCATATTTTCTTTAAACCCACTATTGATGTTCCAAATAATTTCTTAGTTATAACACTTTATTGATATCCCTTGCTATTTTCACCCTTGTGCAGGTGTGAGCTTGTCAAATTCATTAATAGGAACCCAAATAGCACTCATTTGGACAATATGAGAAGAATGGAATGCAAGAATCTTTAAAGTGCTGGAGAGAAGCAAAGAGACAATTGTAGATGTCAACTTGCTCTCTTTTTTATAGACAACAAGATTGGTGAAGCCCGTGAGAGTTGATACCAAAAGTTAATAATTTAGAAATGGATATGTAGTTCTTGATCTACTAATATGATTGCCAGTCTGAAAAAGAAACAACTTAAAGAAAATTGATCAAGCCCTTTCTTGCTCCATGCTTTTCTTGTTACTCTAACAGAATATAATCATAATTCAGATATAGACGCAATGAACCACAAAGAACAAGTTGGGTGATCTGTTCATAGTCGGCCTGTGTTCTGATGTAGTTTCAGCAAGAAACAAAAGAAAGAAAAGGGAAAAAGAATAGAAGAAAGCAGGGGAGAAGAGAAGAAGAATAGAAGAAGGTGCAGCTAATAAGTCTGCTGTGTCTGCCATCCACTCTCTCAATTAGTATTTATATGTTTCTAAAATAAAACAAAAAAAAAACAGTACAGAAACATAAATACCACTGCCGCCCAAGTAACTCTAACAGCAATATAACAGCCACTAAAAACATAATAAAAAGCTAACAGCAACTATAGTAATTAATTTACTGCACCATTTCTCCACACTCCCCCTCCTCAAGTTAGGAATAGATATTGGTCATTCCCAACTTGCATAAGTCTGTCTCTAACTTGTTTTTTGTAACTGCTTTGGTAAAGAGGCCAGCAAGCTGCATATTGGAGGCAACATAGGGAAGGCACACTTTGTTAGAGCCGGCTGTACAAGGGTAGTATAGTCCTTTTATGTTTAGTTATATATGTATTGTTCAGCTGAAGTGGCTCTCAGTTAAGTGAGGGCACAATGGTAATTCTTGTATATCTTATAAGAGTATAAGTAAAAGAAGGGCTGACTAGAGGGATTTGAATTTTTCTCTCTAGTTCAGCTGTGACCTTTTCTCCTTCTTCTTCTCCTTTGTCTCCTTCTCTCTCTTCTTCTCCTCTTTCTTCTGATCTGAACTTATACAACATCTAGTCTGAGTTTTATCATGGTATCAGAGCCACGATAATCAGTTCAGATCAGTCATCTCCTTTTCTCTCTGTTCTGTGCATTCCTTTCTAGGGTTTTGCAGAATTATCATTGATACTTAGAGAGTTTTCCAGAAAGAAAGAAAAGGACTGGTCGTTTTCTCCTTCGGGGGTTTCCATGCCTCCAGTGAGTGCAATCGTTGTGGTTTTGTGTGGTTGGTAGAAAACCCTCTACTCGGAAATTCGAAGAGGGCTGGTTTTGTGATGGTGATAGTGCAGACTTGGTACCCTCTACTCGACAGGTACATGATCTTCGAACTAAGTTGTGGTATGTAGCAAGTTTTTTTTATATGTTGCAGAACTGAATATCCTATTCGTGAGGTGTGTTGTGAGGGTTTCTAGTACTGACAGTAGACGGCAACAGTAGTGCTGTTGCTAAGAGTGGTGAACAGTTGTGAATATTGTTGTTGAAACAGTGGTGAATAGTTGTGAGTGTTGTTGCTGAAACCTGGTACTAGGAACCCTAGTGGTGTTCAGTCGTTTGTGTGGAGTGTGGTGATTCATTAGGGCAGTAGAGTAACAATTTAGTGGTACAGCTTCCCATTGTTTTCTTGTGCAGTCATGGGAGACAACAGTGAATACAAATCAACTGTGATGGTGCCTTCTGATTATCTGAATGTGCAGATGACCTCTATAAAACTGAATGGTGAGAATTATGTCCCTTGGGCTAAGTCTGTTGAAGTTTTCYTGAAAGCCAAAAAGAAAGTGAAACATGTGAGGGAAGATAAACCCCCAATTGATTCTCTGGGATATGATGAATGGGAGTAGGAGGATTCTCAAATTAAGACTTGGCTATGGAACAGCATGGAGTCCAAAATTAGTGTGAACTTCATGTTTTTAGATACAGCCAAGGAAGTCTGGGATCACGCAAGAAAACTATATTCTAGACAAAATAACACTACTACGGTTTACCAACTGTACCAAGAGTACTTCAATCTGCAACAAGGGAATCAAAGTCTTGAGGACTATTATGCCAGTATGAGAAATTTACGAAATGAGTTGAATGTTTATCATCCTCTTACACCCAATGTCAAAATTCAGCAACAACAGAGAGAGCAGTTGGATGTGACCAGATTTTTAGTAGGGCTGAAGTCTGAGTATGAACCCATAAGGGCACAAATATTAGGTGGATCTACTCTTCCCTCTCTTGAGGAAGTGTTTGCTCGTATTCGAAGGATTTCAGTTGGACCCACAGAGACTTCCACTATGTCAGATAGGTCTGCATTTGCAGTTACGAGAGGGCGAGGTCGTGGTGGTAGAGGAGGTCAACATGGTCGTGGTAGTGGTGGTGGCATGTATAATCGTGGTGGTCGTCGTGTTGGAGGACGAGACTCAAGGGGAGTTCGTGGTAGGGGACGTGGTAATACTCAGAGAAGGTGTACTCATTGTGGTATGGAGGGACATACTATCAACTTTTGCTATGATCTACATGGCCCACCTTCAACCTGGGCAAATCATGCAGCTGTAAATGGTGGTAGCTCAAGACAAGACTCTCAAGTTACTAATCAGATCCCCACTACAGCTACAGATGCTTCCAAAAAGGAGATGGTCAGTGTTTCACGGGATGAGTATGAGTGGTTCATTCAGGGTACATCTCAACAGAACACGGCTACCCTTGCACACACAGGTATGGCTTGTACGGCATCCACACCTTCCCGTTGGATTATAGATTCTGGAGCTTCTAATCATATGACTAGAACTCCAAGTGTGTTTTCATCCATTTCTCCATCCTCCACTTCCCAATTTGTTACTCTTTCCAATGGCTCTACATCAGCCATACGTGGTGTTGGTAATGTTGACACAAACTCATTATCCCTCTCCTCAGTTTTATATGTTCCCAAGTTTCCCTTTAACCTGATGTCTGTTAGTAAATTGACTAAGTCTCTTAATTGCTCAATAACTTTTTACCCTTCCTCTTGTGTGTTTCAGGATCTCAAGACGGGGATGAAGATTTGGTGGAGGGCATGAAGCTGGAGGACTGTATTATCTTGATGGAGGTGGTTCGGCAACAGCTCTCCAGTCATCTCTCTCCCCTCATCAGTGGCACTACAGACTTGGTCATCCGTCTCTTAGAGCTCTTCAGTTGCTTGTTCCGTCATTGAGTTGTCTTTTTAATTTAAATTGTGAATCGTGTTAGTTTGGGAAACATCATCGTGTCTCCTTTGGTCCTAGAGTTGATGGTCGTACATCAAGTCCTTTTTCTTTAGTCCATTCGGACATCTGGGATCCAAACAGAGTAGTGTCTTATAATGGTTACAAGTACTTTGTAATTTTTGTTGATGATTATTCAAGGATGTCATGGCTTTACCTTATGAAAGAAAAGAGTGAATTGGTTTCTATCTTCCTGAAATTTTATGTTGAAATTCGCAATCAATTTGGTGTACATATTAAAATTATTCGTTCTGATAATGGCCGCGAGTATTTTTCCACACCCTTTCAAGAATATTTGGAACAACATGGCATTATCCATCAAACCTCATGTACCTACACCCTTCAACAAAATGGGGTGGCTGAAAGAAAGAACCGTCACTTTTTGGAAACTACTCAGTCCCTCTTACGTCAGATGAATGTCCCCAAACCCTTTTGGAGTGATGTTGTACTTACATCATGCTTTCTTATTAACCGCAAGCCCATGTTTATCCTTGAAGGTCAATCCCCTTTCTCTATTTTGTTTCCCACGTTGTCTCCTTTTCCCCTTACTCCTAGAGTTTTTGGATGCGTGTGTTTCATTCATATTCTTGGGCCTAGAATGGACAAGTTAGATGCTAGATCCACTAGGTGTGTCTTTCTTGTCTATTCCAGGACTCAAAAAGGGTATAAGTGTTATAATCCTCGTT